CTCTATCTCTCGCTCACGCTCTCGCTCTCTCTCTCTCGCTCACGCTCTCTCGCTCACGCTCTCTCTCTCTCTCTCTCTCGCTCTCTCGCTCACGCTCTCTCTCGCCTCTCTCTCTCGCTCTCGCAGCGAGCGTGATACTGACGTAAGCAACTAGCCTACTCTCTCCTCCGCCAGCTCTACTCAGACTTTAGCTGTGCCGCCAACGCAGCCTCTCTCTCTCTTACCGCGCGAGAAGTGAAATCCAGAACAAGATGAGCATAGATCCCCGGCGGGCTGCTACCACGCGCTGAGAGCGGGGAGGGGTGGGCGGCAGCATGCAGCAGCATGCAGCTTCACATGGAAATTCGCGCATGATGAGGAAGGAAGAAGCAGCGTATATGTCGATAGTAGGGCTTCGCTCGCCCACCATTCTCTCTCCCCGCGCACATTCTCTTCCGCATCCTCTCTGCCCACATCATCTGATGACGACTAGCGCAGTCCCCCTCCCCCGGAATACGTACGCTGCTAGTAAAGCTCGCACGCCCGCCACTGACAGTATAAACGCTGCTAGTATAGCGTACACCCCTAGGGAGTTAATCACACGCTAACCGGGATTTACCAGCAACCTTGCCCTGAAGAGTCACTGCTGACCCTAATCTAGCAAACGTCATCCATTCACCACACTCAACCCTCGAGCAGTGTCTGTCTGTCAGCATACACACGCCGAAAAGGGGGTAAACGCATGTCAACTAGGATCTACAAACAACCCTTTCTCATCGACTCAGGTGACCAGCACAATCTATTGGATTATGTCCTTGTACAACAACACTCAATACGGAGCATGTGTATGTGCGCCCGGCCACCATCTCTGCTAGCAAGAGTTGAACACATGTTAACTAAGATTTACAAACAAGTTTGCCTGGCCACTCTTGGTGACCGACCTAATCCATGGAATAACGTCCCTCTGACGACAGCGACTAAGCCTGTGGTGTCTGCGTGTTTAATAGGCCAGCGTACACGGCTATAGCTTTACGACCCTCACCATTTATTACACGATATATAGACGGATGGAAAGATAGACAGATAGCAGCGTAAATTAATTTGGTTACAGGCAGTATTCAGAAAGATGGAAGGATTGTTTAATAGATGGGTGGATTGGTGGTTGGTTAGTTGGAGAGATGGACGGATTGATATATATATATATAGATAGATAGTTATAAAGATATACAGATACAGGCAGACAGGCGAGCAGGCGGGGAGACATACAGAAAGACTGACAAACAGACAGACAGATGTCCCATCAAGATGACAATAAAGTCCCACCACCACATCCACGATCACCAGGTATAGCCAGGTAAATGTTACACGTAACTATAGAACAGGTACGGCCCACAGGTAAATGCTATACAGGTATACCGATAACGAATACGGGTAGATGCTACCACAGCTAAATTCTATACGTAACAAATACACGTAAAGGCTACAGGCAAAGCCTACAGGTAAATGTTAAAGGTAACGAGTACGGGTTAATGCTATGCGTAACGGCAACAGGTAAGAGCGACAGGTAAAGACAGACAGGTGATAATAACGAGACAGAGATGAATGACATCAACGGTGTTATATGCGCTGCGCAGGGAGACAGAGGACAGCAACAGCTGTACGTTCTATTTACTGTATGTATGATTCATCCACTGCACGCTCTGTGTACGGCTGCGTTGTTTTTTGTTTCTATTAGCGGAATTGTAACTGCTAAACACGAAAATTTCTCGCGCCTCATATCTGTAATGATACGTCGATCCATCAACGCGTCGCACTCTAATGAAGCCAATAACAACCGCAGCCTGTATCACCTCGCAGCAGCAACAGGAGCATCGTCATCATCATCATCGTCATCATCATAATCATTACCACCACCACCATCATCATCATCATCATCGTTATCATCATCATCGTCATCACCACCATCACCATCATCATCATCATCATCATCATCATCATCATCATCATCATCATCATCATCATCACCACCATCATCACCATTATCATCACAATCAATAACAATCATCAATAATCAAATAATAATGACACGAAAACAACAGCGACGAGGACAACAACAACAACAATAACAACAACAACAACAACAACAACAACAACAAGAATAACAATAGCAGCTGCAGCAACGCTACTGAACTCTTCGTCTGACGCCCTGACTATCGCGCGAAAACAGAATTCCTCTCAGACGTAAGCCTAGAAGCTGAATATATCCTGAGAATACTAGCCGGTAATCAGACGATGCGTCAGCAGAGAGAGAGTGAAGCTGACAATGATCACGCACATCCATCGCTACGTGTGAGACCACTCTCCGGCGGCATCGTCTGTGACGAGCAGGCGAGACGCTGCAGACTACTTATCCGACAATCAAGAGGATGCAATCACCTTCAAACGACCTCCAGCAATGTAGCAATAATTCCTCCTCGGTTACTGTCTCCATCTTCGCTGTGTCGTTGCCTCACGCACGCACACGAGCAAGCACGCACGCACGCACGCGTACGCAAGCGCACAGGGACGTAGAAGTACTGTAGCGGATCACTTCCTCGCATGCCTCGGCTAGCAGTGCGAGGGGCATGCGCCAAGCAAGCATCGACAACAACAACAACAGCTTCCACGGAGATAGAGAGCGTCTTCTCTGTTAGCATGTATGTATAGCAGTAACAGCATGCGTCATGTGCAGGCGTTTTAAAGGGGAAAAAGGAAAAAAGGCGTAAATAAGTTCCCCAGCTGGGACTCGAACCCGGAATCCCAGTGTAGGAGACGGATGTTCTAGCGATTACGCCACTGCGCCGTTAAGGGTATGCAGCATGGATTCACACGTACGTGATGTTAATCTGTACGCACCGCCATCTATTGATGAATAGAATTTTTATTAATTTTTAAACTTTTGAAATTTTTTTTCCGTCTAGGAACCCTCCTGGATTATAGGAATTCACCCTCTGAAAATTGCATCCAGATCGCTTGGGCGGTTTGGCCAAGCATAGGGGGACATACATACATACATACATACGAACTGAAATATATATTAGACATATATATATATATTGCTCTCTTCTTCTCTGTCTCTCGTCTCTCTATCTATCTATCTATCTCTCTTACTCTCTTTCAATCTCGCTCCTCCTCTCCTCTCTTGCCTACTCTCCACCCACCTCCATTTGTCCTTACTAGTCCCCTCCCTCACTCCCTGTTTCTCCCCTAATCTCTTCCTGCCTCTCCCCCCTCTCTCTCTCACAGACGCACACACACACACTCTCTCTCTCTCATTCGCAGTGTCAATATATCGTTAAGGTTTGACTTTTGCTGACGATTCGCATCTCCTCCTCCCCTGGTAAAAGGGTCTCAGGGGAGAAATCCTGGAAGGCGGATGAGGTTGAAGAAATTCTTGTCATGGGAGTTTTGTGCTAAACTGTGCCTGCCTACAGGCTGTGTTGGGATCACCAGACAACCTTAGGTCACATACCTTCCTCTGTGGTCCCATGGCAGGTTTACAGTAACAGGAGGGGGAGGGGGTTCCTCCGTCGGAGTCTTGGATTGCTCTGAATCAGACGCATCTGAATCAAACTCCAGCGAGTCCGGTAGTGGCGCCACCTGGGCTAGAGATGTGACACTATCATTGTCCAAATCTGTAACAGAAGCGATAAAAAAACTTTCATGAGGACAGGGTTGCACAAACAACACCAAAAGCAGCAACGACAACACCACCATCACCATCATCATCATCATCATCAACAACAACAACAACAACAACAACAACAACAACAACAACAACAACAACAACAACAGTAGCAACAACAACAGTAGCAACAACAACAAATTATCGTCTGCTATTCACGTAACCTCCATATATCACCATGCGACAACCTCTGCTGTTAACGTGGAAAAAAACTTGTGTGCCAACCAACATCTTACTGCTATTGAACAAGGTCGCGCGTGACACTGCATGCTATAACATATATACGTAAGAAGAGTTCCCGTGAAAGTTTCGCTGCCCCTCCATCCTATACTATGAACACACACTCGTTAGGAATCAAGCCACGTACACATGTTTGTATGTGTAATAGATGTAGGCGCTTGGTCAACAAGACGCTTTGCACGTGGTGGGGATCAGCGCAGAAGCACGCACGCGTGTTGTTTTACTAACCACAGCTTGAGGTCACGAAACGTTGGTCTTCGGTCAGTGTTTAGCTAACAAAACACAGCAGGAAGGCTGGTAGGCATCCAGGCAGGGATGCAGGCAGGCAAGTAGGAAGGTAAGGACGTTTGCAGGCAGGCGGTCAGGCAGGCAGGCAGGCAGGCAGGCCGGCAGGGCTACAGGCAGGCAAGTAGGAAGGCAGGGACGTTTGCAGGCAGGCAAGCGGTCAGGCAGGCAGACAGGCAGGCAGGGGAAGGCTGGTAGAGCCGTGTAGGTGTTTGGTCATCATGTTTGATATTTTACAGTTGACCAAATAAACAAGCGCTTTTGCTAATAGGTGGCGTCCCGCACCCCCTCCACTGTACACAAAAGCTCTAGATCTGCTGTTCCTCAACACCAATGGTCTTGGTTTACCCAGGCTGGGTACGTTTTACACGCAAACACGCACGCACACGCTAACAGTAACACACACTCGCGCCTGCCAACTAACTGCAATCGTATCATGATGAATTTAGATTGCTGTAGTTAGCTATACCAGCATGTACAAACATGTAGGAAATGTAAACACGATGTAGTAATGCGAGGACAACTGAGTGAGCTCTAGTGCGGTTTATTCTTGACTAAAGGCTGTGGCAATGATTATCACTAACTCTGGTTCTTTCCTCAGCTCAGGATATGTGATAGCTGGGGGTGTGATAGCCATCCGGGCCACCGTACTCTAGCCTTGAGGCACCGCCTGTGATATATACGCGCCAGAGGATATCTCTTCTAGCTAAGCATCGCGTGAGGCTGCCACAACACGCACGGATCACGCATTACACGTACGCAGCTCACAAACAGTTGTGTGTGTGTGTGTGTGTGCTGTGTGTGTGTGTGTGTGTGTGTGTGTGTGTGTGTGTGTGTGTGTGTGTGTGTGTGTGCGCGTCGTGTGTGTGTGTGTGTGTGTGTGTGTGTGTGTGT